GCTTGATTGAATGCCCTTCCTAATCAACCGCGGTTTGGTGCCCTAACGCTTGTGCCACGGCGGTGACTTCCCCTACGACACCTGCGTTTGACTTCTTAAGGCGATATGTCGTTTTCTCGGGCTCGAGCAAGCAGTCAGAGTGCAGGCACTTTTACGACTGCCGCGACGGGGAATTGAACCCGGGACCACGAGGGTGGGAGTCCAGTGCTCTAACCACTGAGCTATCGCGGCATATATATATATATATATATATATATATATATATATATATATATATATATATATATATATGTATATATATATATATATGTATATATATATATTTATATATATGTATATATATATATATATATATATATATATATATATATATATATATATATATAAAGAAATGTAAACACGACATTAAATGAGATTTTTAAAAATTTACACGAGGTAAAATGGAAGATAATCCTTACATCACGCAAGCAAGTGTTACTTAACGATAGCCAAGATAGGACAAGATAATGAAAAATATTTGAATAAGATAAAATTGAAAAAATTAACATCTGACCCAAAGAAATGAATCAATAAATGAATAAATAAAAGCCCTTCCCCCCTCCCCCCTCTTCCCCTTTCTTGTCTCCAACCTGAAGCTTACCCCCTCCCCCCCTTTTCCCTCTCTCTTGCCCCCATTCCCTTCTCTCTTGCCCCCCCACCCCCCACCTGAAGCCCATCCCCTCCCCTCCCCCATCTCCCGCATCTTTCCCCCTTCTTTCCCCCCTCCCCCCCTTGCCATGCCGCGGGCGGGGGCGCTGCGGGACCCGGATGAGCCGCGGCGCGTCCTTGGCGAGGGCTGGCCGAGGACGGGCGGCGGAGGGCGCCTCAAGGCCTTCCCCCTCCCCCTTCCCCCCTTCCCTCTCCCTCTCCCCCTCCCCTCTCCTCTCCCCCTCCCCTCTTCCCCCTTCCTTCTTCTTCTCTCCCCCTTCCCTCTCCCCCTTTTCCCCTCCCCTCTCCCTCTTCCCCTCTCCCCCTCTCCTCTCCCCTTTTTCCCCTCCCCTTCCCCCTTTCCCCCCTTCCCCCTTCAACCCTTTCGTCTTCTCTGTTATTTTGAATTGCTTTGCCTCTTCTTCTATTCTTCTTCTTCTTCATCTTCTTCTTTTCCCTCTTCTTCTTTTTCTTCTCCTTTTTCTTTTTCTTCTTCTTCGTCTTCAAAGCCCTTCCCCCCCCCCCCCCCCGCTCCACACTTGTCATTCTGAGTCGTTGTCTTTTTTTCCTTCTTTTTTTTGTTTCTTGTTTTTTGTTTTTTTGTTGATCTGCTTTTTGAGAGAGAGAAGGGGGGGTGGGGGTGGATTCTTCTTTTCTTTCTTTTTTTCTTTATTTTGTTTCCTTCTGTCTTGTTATTTTTCTTTTCTTTTTTCTTTTGTTTCATTTTTTCCTTTTTTTTTGTTTCCTTCTGTCTCTTCTTCGTTTTTTTCTTCTTTCTCTTGTCTTATCATTCTCTCTTTTTTATCTTTATCTTATTCTTATCTCTTTTCCTTTTTCCGTTTGCTCTCTCATTAATTATTCTTTTTCTCTCCTTCTTTCTCTCGTTCCCTTTTCCATACTTCCATTTCCCGATTCTTTTGTTTTATCTTCTTCCTTTTCTCTCTTATCTTTTCTTTCTTTTCGACCTTTCATTTTTTTCTACTTCTTCTATTTATTGTTTTTCTTTTTCTTCTTTTTCCTTCTTTTTTCTTCTTTTTCTCTTTCATCCTAATTTTAAATTGCTTTTACTTCTTTTCCTCCCTCTTCCTTTTCTCTTTCTTCTTCTTCGTTTTCCACTTCTTCTTATTCTTCTTCATCTCCTTTTTCTGCTTCTTTCATTCCTTCCATTTTCTTCTTTCTATTTATTTGCGATTTTCTTTTATTCCTTCACCGTCGTCTTATTTCTCTCATTTTTTGTTCTTCTTCTCTTTCTCCTCCTTCTTCTTTTCCTCCTTCTCGCTCTTGTTTTTTTTTCTCTCTTTTTTGTATTTTCCTTTTCCTCCATGTTCTTTTTCTGTGTCCTTCGCATTCCTCTTCTCTTCCTGTTTCTTTTCTCTCCGTTTCTCTTTCGTGCCTTATTTTCTCCATTCGTTCTAGTGTCTAGTCTCTTCTTCCTTTTTCTCCTCCTCCTGCTCCCTCATTCTCATTCTCATTTTCCCTTTCCTCCTCTTCTCCCTCTTCTTCTTCTTCTCCTCTTTCTTTCCCTTCTCCCTCCCTTGTTCTCATTCTCATTATCATTTTCCTCTTCCTACTCCTACTCCTCTCCTCCTACCCCTCCTAATCTCTCTCCTCTTCATTCTCCTCCTCCTGCCCCTCCTCCTCCTTCTTCTTCTCCTCCTCCTCCTCCTCCTCCTCCTCCTCCTCCTCCTCCTCCTCCTCCACCTCCTCCTCTTCCTCTTCCCAAACTCCTCCTCTTCCTACTCCTCCTCCTCCTCGTCTTCTTCCTCCTCCTCCTCCTCCTCCTCCTCCATTCTCTTCTTCCTCCTGCTTCTCT